TTTTGTATCATTTATAGCGTTGGACCTATATCTATCTGGTAAGTGTCATTATTTCTGCTTCTGAAACACTGCTATTTTCTACGTGGTTGCATGACGAAACTCTTTCTCACCGGCTCACCTATATACTCTCTCGTCGTCGTTTAATTGCTTGCATTCACGTGAAAACACTTTGCAAAATTTGTATTACATTCCTGCCAAACGTTTATCAAAAACAGAACTCGTCGTGTATAAAGAGTACAATGTCAATTTTTATGTCAATTCGATGTAAAACTTTGAAAATTCAATAATTTGTGTAGTATAAATTGTAAGATAATATGAAATCCTATTTCAGAGAGTTACAACTTTTTTTACAATGTTTTTTATAAACTAATCTAACATTTTAAAGGTAAAAAGTGCAGAGTATTCAAGTTTACATGGTACAATCAAGAAGGATTCTATGTGCAAAAGAGAATTTTCTCATTTGAATTTTTGTTTTTCAAAAACTCGAACGATTTGTCAATTTTATGTGTATATTTGAATTTAGCCAATCAAGTACTGGAGCTAATAATCGACAAGAAAATATTTTACGTACAAAGAAATAAATTGAAGATAAAATCTTTTTGTCAAAGGCTTCGTTTTTTTAAAAAATATAAACTTGTGTTTTATTAATATTAATTGGCTTGGTACTAAATTTATTTATAAATATTTTAATTTAGTTTTTTACAGAATAATCTTCTATTTATTTTCTGATCTTATGATGACATAATAAGTACACAATTATAATATTATATAAGCATTATATTATTTTTATATAATTTATAATTAGCCTGATCCGATTATAATTAAGATGTATTCAAAATTAACTTTCTGAAAATATTATATATTAATCATTATAAACAGTCTATGTGGAATTTATTAAGTGACATATTTATGCATTTTTCACTGGTATTTTATTTTCCATATATACCCGTAGCTTCAATGAAAGATAAAAATACAAACGAAACTAAAAGACAATAAGTATAGAAAGTATAAAACAAGATAGTACCAGTATAACGTTTTAACACTTTAACATTTTGTTTTTACGTTTATTTTTACAATTTTAATAAGATCTATGATAAAGAAATAGAATTATAAAAACTAAAGAGAATAAAACAACAGACACAAAACAAGTGTACGTCTTGAATATATAACGACTTCCAAATATGACAAATATTTTTCCGAGAAATAACATATTTTGAATATAAATATGAAAATATAAATATGAAAATAAATGTAAAATATAATTTTTATACAAAATTTCACTTTACGTTTTCGTCCCTCTGTTCTTGCACATAGAATCATTTTCTCCTCAGTTGTATGATTGAAACTGACAATAAAACAGTCTGTATAATAATCACCTCATATTTTCTTAAATCCTCATAATTTCACTTTTTTTTTTTTGTTTTCGAAGAAAATAATATAAATCTAAAGCTGTATCGATATGTTGTAATATACAAAGTAATCTTTTAAACATTTTTTTTTTTTTTACTGTACTACCTATTTCTATTTTTTCATGAATTACCTAGCATCATGGCGAGCTGAACGAAATAGAAATAGTTTAAACTTCTTGTGTTTATTGACGTTCGGGATAATAGTGTTCACCACAATTATAATTAGTATAGTAACTGGACACAGCTATTGCATCGTTCGTATTTGTTAATAGATTAGAGCACAGGGGCACACTAGTGGAAAATTGGATTTTTAGATTAGAAGAATCATTCGCAATACGCTGATTTATTTTATATCATATGTTGTTTTACGTAATTATCAATATTTTCAACGATGTGATGGAAAAGAATTTGTCAATTTTAAAAAAATTTGTTAACTTGTTTATCTGTTTGAAATATACGACGTATACTGTAAATAAATTTGTAGAATAAAATAAATTTGTAGAGTATTTCACTTTCACAGTAAATTCAAGTTTAATTTGAACTTTTTTTAGTAAAACTACATGAATTTTCTTTCACCGTATTACATAGGATTTATTACGTGGTTACAAATACTGTGAGAAATCAAATAGAACATTAGCTGCAGATTTTCAACAGTAAAGCTATCACGTGAATTATTTCTCCGATTTAATATTTGTACAACATAAATGCAAAATGAACTTGTCACATCGTTTTTTTATTACGTATAATCGATTATTTATTACGAGTATCAAAGATCTTTAATAAAAAATTATTGATATATAGTTGCTCATAATTGTATGTACTATATAAAATATTTTTTATATTTTTTATATAGTACATAATAGTATGTACTATATAAAACATTTTGAAATTTCATTCATACTGTATCGACACAGTGTCATGATTACATTTCATAAAAACTAAATAAAATAAAATTTGAAATTAATCTGAAAATATGTATAGTTAGTCATAGACTACGTTTATTCGTTAGATATTAAAACTCGAAAAATGATAAATAGGTATTTTGGATAGTTTACAAGCCTTAATTAATTTCTTAATTAAAATGACACCATTTTTAAAATATTGATCGTTTCTAAATACGATATTACGAAAATCTGTACACATACTGCGATCGATGGAATCATTTAGAATTTACACAACAAATGACGGTTTAGAATTTCTTGTCGGCATAAAGAAATTTATTGATTTATTTTTAGATATTTTCTAACAATGACAACAACTGGCACGTTTTTTGATGCTGACAAGTTCTAACATTTATAAAACAATCATAATATATAACATTTATAAATATCATAATATATAACAATTATTAAATATATAACATTTATAAATATCAACAAAATTGACATTTTTGTCAATTGATCGCTGATCTGCTGACCTGTTTTGATCGATGTCCTCAAAAAACAGTTGGCACCGATTCTGGGATCGACATTTGACGTTTCTAACATCATCTGCGAGGCAATCAACCATCATATATTTTAGAAATGACTAGCTAACTTCAAAACAGGTTCGCAGGCAGCGAGAATCCACGTGAAAGTGTTCACATTCGGGGATCTCGCGATCTGTGGCCAAGATTCATTATTCAGAATTTAGGAATCAAGATGTGATACACATTACCATCGCCTTAACACATGCAGTTAACACATATATACATACTAAAAACTAAAGAAGAAACTTCCTTTGATTATTAGAGTAATTTTTATTAATTTTTTTTCTTTGATTATTAGAGTATACGAATTTTTACGTGAATTTGAGAATTTTTGGCAATTTGAAAAAATAGAACCACGATAAAGAATTGTTTTACGTACCAAATATCAGTAAAAATTTGTTACGATCAAAACAAATATTTTACAGTATTTAAAAACATTGTACTTTGAAGTATAAAATACTATTACATTTATTTAAAAAAACACATGGGAAAATGGAGATGTAACTAACAATTTCAATGTAATCCATGAAAGTTTTACTGTTCGAGTATTTCAAACTCGCATTTTTTAGATATCGTAATATATTTTTTCATATGCATTCTCTGTAATTTTACATTTTAAAGTTTCCTATAAAAGCTTTGCATAAAAATACAGTCTGGCTGATTATAACAACAATAACAGTATCCTTTTATTACATAATTAATTGCATATGCAGTTATTTATGTAAATTTTTTGTATTATTTATTTATGTAAATAAATATAAAATATACAAAAATATCGTAATTTTTTTCAGATGTTATATAACTTTGATTAATAATTAAATTAATGTCTATAAAATATTTAAAATATCTGTTTTTTTTTAAATACTTGAAATTTGATAAACATTCTTCTATTACGTTGTCGCTGAAATAGCTGAACAATTATGCGGAATATTGCGTAAAGCATTCTGCTATAACATTAATATTAATAATGAAATATTAATAATGAATAAAAATTGATCAAATACCTGTAATTAAAAATGTACTATTTTTATTTATAGAATCCAAAATACAAGATTACTTTATACACAACAATTTAATGATACAAAAAAAATATATTAATATTGCAAAATAGAATTTGTTTGAAAGTATCTTCAAATCAGCGTATTTCGAATGATCAGTAGAGAAAATATAATTTAGAAATAATTCTATTTTTGTGATGTGCTAAGTAGTTTGTAGATAATAAAGGAAGGAATGTTTTTTTTCTTTTTAAATTAGGTAGTTCACTTAGATGTTCACTACTGTCTAGTATGTTAAACATTATGAAAAGAATAAAAGATACAAAGATTAAAAATATTTTATATAAGATATAAAAATAAAATAAGGATTAAAAGATATTCTTCTCACTTTAATTTTTAAATTCACATTTTAATCATTTGTTGATTACTAAATTATTGTAAAAATCATATTTCATGTTGAATTTGAAAAATTTACTAATTATCACGTTATTGTAAAAATCAAAGGAAATTAACTGTGCTCGAGAATGAATTGAAATGAATTATTTAATATCGACGAAATTAATATGTTCCACTAAAAATTTTAAACGAGAATATACACGTCCTCCTTTTAAAACGAAGATCTTCAATTCGAATCGCGACATGTAATTCTGAAATTATATGGATATATAATCAAGAATATAATGGAGAAACAAAATTTCATACATTTGAATAAACAATATCATGATTAATAATAATTAATAAGTTACTAACTGTTAAGTGCCGTTTGTGAGTGTTCAATTCGCGAAGCGATTGCGATGTATTTAACCGATATGTATCTACGATTTCTTGTAGAATCGCACAGATTAAAGAACAGTTCAGGGTTTCATTTCACATGAAGAAATTCACTGGTTTTTTAGACGACTCGCCTATTTTTTATGCTGATAAGAAGTTCTGATATTTCGCGCTCCATTAATTAGGAGCACTTGCCAATAACTTCGATCGCTGACTCGCATGCCTGTTTTATTTAATATCCTCCAAAGAATGATCAGTCGATCCTTCGATCAATTGATTCCAATCTCACGGGTTATGCTAGGACAATTAACTGCCACCACATTTGAAATGAATGACTAGCGCCTAGTCAATTTGTACATGCAAAACACGATTAGGTATTTCAGAATCAAAATCTAAGATACAGTCCATTATTCGGAGGATCTCGAGACTTGCAAGGGAATTGGATTAGCAAGGAAATATCGATTCACTGTCATCGCTTTCGCTTCAATATCACAAGACGTTTCAACACTAACTAAATTTTATGATTATTTATTTGAATGATATGAGAAATAATGTATTAATTTATACATGCTGCATACATATTTTAATATATATGTATAGTCTATATATTTGGTGTGCATACGTATTGCATTCGAAAAATATACATCGTCAAAAAATTAATTTCTTCTGAAATATTAAATAATAATTAATAATAGTATTATGAAATATAAAATGATAATTAATAATAGTTATAAATCAGTATTACGATAAATTAATAATAAATATTATAATAATTTAATATTCTAAATTATTGTAATATTATAATATTATAAATTACTAAAATTATTAAAGTTTATTATTGTTTTTCATTTACTTATTATGATGTTATTGTATATATTATTACATAATTATAATGTTTCTCATAATACTATAATATTATAAGAGTATAAATTATTAAACTTGTTAAAATTTATTATCACATTTTTATTTATTGATCATGATTGTACCTATCGTTGTATTGATTGTATCATGATTGCATTGATAATGACATTATTATATAATTGTATTATTCATAATAATTAATACTTTATAAAATGCTTCATAAAATATTACAAAATGTTAAATATTGAACCAAATAAAATGCGAATGAAAGAGAAATGTACCGAAACTTTTAGCCGATGTTATATACTACATAATTGTGTATAATGACAAAACTCTTCATACTGTTCAAAAGAATAATCATATAATTGATGACTATGTATAACAATCATACAAATGAGATTGTATGAAAACGAATTAAATGGAGGAAGGATTAACGTTTCGTTGTATATATCTAGGAGCAGTACATCGACAGCTGCAACCGCATTTGCAATTGCAACATCTGCATCAAGCAATCCGCCAGACATTGATAAGGATAATCGCAGCGGTTCTTATTATGACAAAAATAACCGGAAAGAGTCGGTTATGTCGACCGCAACTATGATGCGAGTGTTGAAAGTGTTGAGGCATTGGATTTCGAAACACCCGCAGGATTTCGAATCCGATCAGAGATTAAAACATCTGACGATTAAGTTCCTTGAGGATATTATGCGCTCGCCGAATCTTCTGCCGGCTGAGCACAAGGCTGCAAACCAACTACTTCGATTGATCGCGAAGGAAGTGCCGGACAGCAACAAAGTGGAGCTAGAGAAACTGTTGGCTCCTCCAACCGTACGTATACACAGAAATATCGAACAAATAACACATAATACAATTAGTAATTTTTACCTTTCCCATAGTATAAGTATTATCTATAATTTTGCCCGATAATATTAGTTATATCGATTTTATTAATTATTATTATTTATCTTTTATTATTTATATTATTTTCAAAATAATTTCATTACTCTGAAAAAGGTTGTCACATGTTTCCAGTTGAAAATTAAGCAAAGTATTGATACGTTCTCGTCAATTGAAGTCGCAGAACAAATGACATATTTGGATCACAAGATTTTTATGGCTCTCTCAAGCAAGTAAGTTGAACAAAAATCAATATCAATTCACTATGACTGTGAAACGAAAAATTGTTAGAGCCTGTGTGAATCGTACAGATTGCAGATGTGTTTTTAGAAAAATAAGATAGATTATTATAGATTATCTCTATTTCTTTAAAATGTAGCTGAAAAATCAATTTAATGCATTGGATTATATTAGAATTTAATTCAGCAATATATATAATTTATTTAAAAATATTTTTAATTAATCTGGAAATTAAAAAATAAATTTAATAAATAAAGAGAATTCGTTTCACTGGTATTCAACAATATACAAGTGCTGATGTTCAATTATTTAATCTGCTCGAATTTCTGCGTAGAGAATTTCTCGGACAGGCATGGATAAAAACTGACAAGGCTACACGAGCACCCAACATTTGTCTGCTAACAAAACGATTCAATGAAATGTCACAATTGGTTGCTTCTGAAATTGTCAGACGTAAGAGTGTGTCGGCGAGAACTGCAATGATCGAGAGATGGGTCGCGATTGCAGACTACAACAGAACTTTGCACAATTTCAACGGTGTATTACAGATTTGTGCAGCCTTCTCAAACAGCTGTGTTTTCAGATTGAAGAAGACTTGGGACAAAGTTCCAAAAGCGGTAAATAAAAATGATACGACCACTCGTAGAATAGTTATTAACCTTGAAGAATC